TGATTACAGGCAGTACCCAGACCTCCTAAAGAGGAGTGCTGACTCTCCTCAGATATTTCTGGAGAAAGTTCAGAACCCTACCCACTGATTCCTGGACATTGTCCAGGCTAACGCTTGCTCTAAGGTGGCCCCCCCCATCAATGAGGTCATTATGGAGCCCTTTAACAAAATTCGGCTTATTGCTAAGAGGGCCAAGAAAAAATACTTTGTTCACTCTAAGGGAGCAGAATATTTATTTTTCCAACCCTAATCCCAACTCGTTAGTGGTCCAGGCAGTAACAGAGCAGAGTAGACTGAACCAGCCCAGGTTATCCTTTCCAGACAAAGACACAAGAGACTGAATTTTTCTGGCAAGAAGCATTTCTCTTTGGCTGGCCTGTTTCCCATAGCGAATGACCGTGAAGAAAAAAAAGAAGCCAGTACACTGTTCCTGAGCTACTCAAAGCTTCAGCTCCAGAGGTGAGATGCCTTCCTGGTGCAATGATTCACCCTGCTGATATAGTCCTTCTCTCCCTAACCTATGCTGCCTTCCATCCTCGGGATGACCAAGCCAAACAAGGCAGCAGTGATTCTCAGAGATTCCTGGTAGTGGAGATTATTCTGATTCACTAGTTTGCCTCCAAGCCATGCAAGGACCTTCAACCAGTTATAAACCTACTGTCATAGAATGAGGGCAAGACCAGCCACACTCAGTCTAGTTTTGATCTTCTGGCAACATGGTTTTTAAGTGAACAAGGAGCACAGAGGAAGACTGATCATAGGATGTCCAATCCATCCTCTACAACAAAGGTGAGGAATGTTTTTTGGGTCGGGGGCCACTGACACATAGAAAAACCAATCAGGGGCCATGCACAAGTGAGAAGTTTAAAAAGGAAAAAAAAAAAAAACCTCACTGACGTTGCTCCCGACTGAGAAGGAGAACAACACTCTCCCACATTCCTCTTGGACACCAAAGCCTGGGGGTCCAGGCTAGTAGATTTTGTGTGTTCCAGCCTAGTGAGGGCATGGTGTATGTGTGGGAGGGGGAGAAGGCGGAGACATGGGGGCTGGGGAGGGAGAAGGCTGGAGCACTAGTGCAGGCTCCACAATTCTGGGAGCAGGCACCTCACACCTCAGGGGCTGAATCTGCCCCCAGGCCTTAGGTTTCCCTCCCCTGCTCTACAAGGAAGTACTGTGCCACCAACTGGTAGTGATTCTCCCTGCGATGTCAGTAGCAACACCACCTACCTACTGAGGAATCGGGAATCCTTCTAATGAGAGAAGATATTCCAGAATTAGAGACATCTGTCTTGTTAATCAGTTCCTTAAAGTACATCTGGCAGCTGTTAATGCCTTACATTCTCCAGTGAGGAACTGCTTTGTTTTCATCTATCCCACTACTGTGACCTTCAGAATGTAAATCTGTCCCCAGTTAGGACCTGAACCACCTCCTTTCTGCTCTTATGAGCCTGCAGTTGGAATCATGAGCCTCCTGCTCCCCTTTACATCTATCTGTGCACACAGATAGCTTAGAGGACAGGAAGCCCCACTCACTTGACAAACTCAGGACTCTGGTCTTCTGTGTACACTATATAAGACTTTTCTAAAGTTTCCAAGGTTATTTCTCACCATTGCTGAAAGAATGCAAGGGGAATCTGTCTTTTTCCAAAGACTCTGAATGGATTTCCACCTGAAACTTTTTTACAATCTTTTACAAACCCCTCCTCAGACTGTCAGGTCCCAGTTAATTAGAGCACAAGCAGTCTGTGGCGGCTTTGCAGGACTCCCTCTGATATAGAGCTGCATCTTGAGGCTCCATGCATACCTTTACCAGGTATCATGCATTAGTTCAGGCTTTAGCTGGAGATGCTTCCTTTGCTTTCATGATCCTCCAATCTGTGATGCATCATGCTTCCTCACACCCACCTTCTAATTGAAACACTGTTTTGGCTTCCTCCATAGTGAATATCTCTGGGAATCAGCACTGGAAGAAGAAAGGAAGATTGCTTACTACGGATGCTAGATAAATAGTGTGCAATTCAATTATGGACTAACAGCACAAAATATTATTGGTTGCATGACTCTTTGATATTCCCATGCACTCCCAGCCCTAGTCTTGGGAAGCCCCCTGCCATCCCGCACAGCTGCTTCTCTATGGGGTGGCAGGCAGGAGCCGGTCTGCGCAGGGAGCTGGTGTAAACACTGGCTTCCCTCACAGACCAGCTCCCACCTGCCGCCCCTGTCCATAGAGCAGCCTCTGTCCGCCGCAAGCCCAGGCACCGTGGACAGACACTGCTCTGTGGCAGCTTCCCCTGCCCTCCCCCACAATGCTGTTGCCTCTCATAGAGATGCGGGGGAGGGGGAGTGGGAAGTACTGGCTGTCCCCCTCTCCCTTGCAATCTAGGCTTGTTGGTTAATCGTGTAATCATCTACATGTTAACATCCCTATTACTTCTAGGAACTAGAGTTCTTCAAAATTTTGCTCCCTGTGGGTATTCACAACCCACCCTCATTCCCCTCTTCTCAGATCCTCTTTGGATTCACAGTAGAGCAGGAACTGTAATACTGTTTGGTCTGTGTTACCTCTATTGCCCATGGTTCAAGTGTGAGGAGGAAGGTGGTGCTGGTCCATTTCCAGGAGCACATGCACATCCACAGAGATGTGTGGTATATCTTGAAGTTACCACCCTTTACTAGTGCTACTTTCAGCCATAGAAATATTTAAATCACTAAATATTCTGTAGTATAATCTTTAACTGCAGCCTACCTAGCACTAGTTATTCTGATTAAGCCCTGAAAAATAATGCAAAAAATGTCAAAATGTTAAAAGACAGCAGGATATTAATGGGTGACCCATTGAGGATTACCAAATGGTATGTATTTTTGAATAAGGCTCTGATCTTAAAAACAGGCACTAGCATGATTGTGCTTTGCAACAGGATCTAATTCAGGATTGGATCCTATAATTTTTCACTAATTATTATAACAACATTTTGTTTATATCCTGAAACAAAGGGGTTGGTTTCCCTAAAGCTGTTTAGTCATAACTAATTTCTGGTGTACTTACTATAGCTGCAGTATAGGCCTTGGTGTGTATAAATAATTGGTGGAGCCCGTCTAGTTAGATTGTCAATGAGGATTGAACCTAAATTGTCTATATGACAACATGAGCCTTTATTGCTTGAGATTAAACATGTCTGTTTGTAGAGAGGCAATACCAGACTCTTAAACCTCTAACCAAGGAGGGGATGTTTGCTTCCTCTTATACCCAATAGCAGAGACTAGGGTACTCATCTGGCCTGAGTTTTAATCCAGGCCTCTTCTCTCCTGTGAGCTTCCTAACCATCAAGTTATTCTCGGGTGGGAGGTGCCTCTGACTCTTCTGTTGCACTTTGTATGAATATTTATTCAGTTGGGCCGGCAAGAGTGACTCTAGAGACTCTGGTTATGGCATTCACCTGACTTTGAGGGGGCGGTAGGGGGTGGGCAGGGAATACATCTGAGTTCTAGTCCTATTGCAGCGAATGTTTACTTTGTTGCACAGCATGGAATAGCATCGGGGGTGTGTGTGTGTGAGACAGACAGACATCCTTCCTTCCGCCAAATAGCCAGTAGCCTTGTGGTAGGGGTACTCACCTGGGGTAGGGATTCAAACCCTGGAAAGTCCCACACTCCAAAAGAGTGTTCTAACTGCTGGGCTATTGGATGTAAAGGGGCAATGCTACCATCAGTTTGTCCTCGGTTTGGGGAATCTAGTCCTGCATCCAATTTCCCTTTGCTTTCACTAAAACAATGCCCAAAATAAAACGGGGTGTGTGGGGTTTTTATTTCCTGAAATTTGTGATTTGCTGAAAATTCTGACAAAATTTGCTTAGGGTTAACTCAAAAGTAAAAAAGTGTAACAATGGCAAAAGGGGTAAGACTCTTTTAAAAGAGTCTGTTTTCTAATCTCCATTTTGAACAAGTTAGACAATTTGTGAATATCCAGTGAAGCTGTTAAAAACTCGTATAACTGTAAAATAAACAAACTTGAGAGAGACCAGCTGGATAAGTTACAGAATGCTGACCTCATTTTTTTAAAGTAACTTTATCTAAGGAGTTGACAGATCATTTTGGTCTTGTAAATAATATCCAAAATTAGAATTTTATACTAACATTGTGAGTGTTAAGTCTTTATTTTCCCAAAGGCAGTTAGAAAAGTTTGACATTCGTACAAAAATAGGAAGAGATCAAGCCATAGTAATCTCAGCCAGAATTTTGTCAGACTTGTATTTTTCCATCTAGAAGGTCAGAGTAGACAGATTCCCCTCCTTCCTTTATAACCCCAATCTTGCCATGTGTGATATCTTATGCAAAGTCAGGCCAAAGAGTCCCAGAAAGGAAAAATTTTAAATGTTCTAAAAAAAATTTAATCTTATTAATCTACCTTCTCTTACCTCCACTACGACCCTATCCTTTCTCTAAGAGAATCAAAGGCTGTGTCATTTGATCACACCTTGTCCTTCATTATACCTTCAGTTATTCAATAAAGAAACAGTTCAACTTGACTTAGGGTGACCAATCACACAGCAACAAATAAATAGTGAATAACTATTTAACACACAGTTTACAACTAAATTTAGGACAAAATGTATTCTTTTTAAGTAATTATGAAAACTCAGTCTGTTCATGAATTCTCAAACTAGGAAAGAGTAAAATTATTCGATTACTTTGTAACCTCCTCTGTGGGTATTGGGGTATTACCAATTTGCATGTGGGTGGGTTCAAACAACAGTTTGTATATATACTGAAATTAATATTTACAATGAAATCATTTTAATGAATGGGGAAATAGCCTGAGCTTTAATTTATTAAGCAGAGTGATTCTTCCTTTGACTTAGTTCCATTTAATACCCAGTAACTAGAGCTATGAAGAAGTGTATTCCTGTACCCTCAAATGCTGCTGATGTGCCTGAAACATTTAATTTACTAATTGTACTCATTTCTTATTGTTTTTTTTTGTTGTTTGTTTTTTTTTCCAGGAGTTAGCTCTCCGAAGCCAACTTCCAAGTATGGAACAAGATGGTGGCTCTCAAAATCCAGTGTCATCTCCTGGAATGTCTCAGGAACTAAGAACAATGACTACAAATAGTTCTGATCCATTTCTTAACAGGTTTGTAGGAGTAGCTACTGAAAACATTCTATTTAGTACATGTAATAGTTTATTTTGAACATCAGTCTATGCCAAAAACCACAGCTGTAATTGAATTTTTCCTTAAATGGCAAGTGAAGTAAAAGTTAAGGATTAAAAGCTGTCTCCTGTGGGAGGAAGTAAACTGTTCAGACTTGTAGGAAACATTCATAACATGTTTCCCTCTCTATATCTGTTGTCTAACAGTCACCTTAAAATTACTAACTCAGAAGAGCTTGTGCATAACTTGCTATGAGATCAAATGAACTGTAAGGTAATACATTTACAACTACACTTGGAGGTTAATTTTAAGGTGTTTTCACATAGGTTATTTAGCCTGCCAGTATTTTTACTGCATTAGGACTAGTGCTAGAAACAGTGATAGGATTTATTTTTAAGAACTGTATTGTATGAAAATCATTTGTTGGTTCAAGGATTTGGCATTTTGGTTTGTGATTAGGCAAAGTATCAGTTATGAAAGGAGAAATTGGTGGCAAGCAGATTTGAGGAAAATGAGGAAAATTTTAAAAGACTATTATGGACAAAAAACATACTGGTAATCATTACTAGACTGCAATGGTAGAAAGTGTTGAATAAATATTTGTTCTATATTTGAGGAAAAACAGATGATATAGTGCTATCATACAATAGCATTTTTTCCGTTCTAGTGGTATCTCAAGAGAATATTAAACAGCGGTTAATGAAGTTGGACATTTTCAAATGAGCTGGTCCAGATAACTTGGATTCACAAATGTAGTTCCAGAAGACTGGAAGAAAGTTAATGGGTTAAAGTAAATTGCATGACCTAGTTGTTAATAGGCCTGTCAGTCTGAAATCAAGCCTAGGCAAAATAATGCATCAACTGATATAGGACTAGATTAACAGATGAATTAAAGGAGGGTAATTTTATTAATACCAATCAGCATGGATTTATGGAAAATGGATTCTGTCAGACTAATTTGAGGTATGTGTCTCAGAAGGTAAATATATTAGTCTCTAAGGTGCCGTAGGACTACTTGCTTTTAAAAGTTATAGACTAACAAAAATGTATACATAGTATCATGAGCTTTAGTGGGTAAGACCCACTCCAGCTTGTCTAATGAAGTGGGTCTTATCCATGAAAGCTCATGATACTACGTATATTTGTTAGTTTCTAAGGTGCCACAAGACTTCTCATTGTTTTTAAGATGTGTATGTGTATTTTATGATATTACAAGTGTGTTGATAAGGTGGTAGTGTTGATGTAATATATTAAGACTTTTGTAAGGTGTCTGACTTGGTAACACATGATAATTTTGATTTTTTTTTTTAAACAGCAATACAAAATTAAGGTGGCATACATTAGGTGGATTTAAAACTGGTCTCAAAATGTAAAAGAGAATAATCAAGTAGCTTTTTCCATTGGTGGTCTTCCAAAGATTAGTCTTGGCACTTTGTTATTTTTATCAGGGACCTAAAAGAGAAAACATCACTGATAATGTTGGCAAATAACGCTAAAAATGGATGAATGATAAATAATAGAGAGTATAGATCACTAATATACAATGTTTTGCATATTTTGATAAACTGAGCACAAGCAAACAATATGTGGGTTTTGTTTTTTTTTAAATAGAGCTAAATTGTATATATAGGAACAAAAAACATAAGCCATGCTTACAAGATAGGGGATAGAAATGTAGCCATGTTAGTCTGGAGTAGCTGAAACAAAATACAGTACTATGTAGCACTTTAAAGATTAACAAGATGGTTTATTAGGTGATGAGCTTTCGTGGGCCAGACCCACTTCCTCAGATCAAATAGTGGAAGAAAATTGTCACAACCATATATACCAAAGGATACAATTAAAAAAAATGAACACATATGAAAAGGACAAATCACATTTCAGAACAGAAAGGGAATGGGGGGGGTGTAAATGTCTGTGAGCTAATGATATTAGAGGTGATAATTGGGGAAGCTATCTTTGTAATGGGTAAGGTAATTAGACTCTTTATTCAGACCAAAGTGTAAAGTGTCGAATTTAAGCATGAATAACAGTTCAGAGGATTCTCTTTCAAGTGCGGTCTTAAAAGGCTTTTGAAGCAGGATGCAGGTAATTAAGTCAGCAGCACTGGGTGACAGGCAACCAGTCCAGAAGGGGAGCTGGTTTTTAAACTGGCTGCCCTTGTGGACCAGCTCCTGCCTGTCACCCTGCACTACTGCCTCTGATACAGTGGCTGCTGGCCCTGCCCCAGGGACTATAGAATAGTCGACTAACCGATAAAAATTCATGAGGTTACTCGACTATTAAATTAACCGATATTTAACATCCCTACATGGAACCGGACGCCATGCTGCCCACAGCATTTCAAAGCGGAAGTGCCACATAAAGACTGGGGTCAGCTGGGGACTCAGAATCCCTGGCTGATCCTGGGCTTCATGAGGCACTGCTGCTTTGAAACGGCGCAGGGCCAGCAGGGGACTGCTTGAGTCCCCCGCTGGCCCCGTGTTCCCCACAGCACTTTTGCCTTTGAAGTGTAGCAACAGTCCTGGGGCTGTTGCTACAGTTTAAAGGCAGAAGCGCCCTTATCGACTAATTGACTAGTTGATGCAAATTGCATCAACTATTCGATTAGCCAGTGAATCAAAATTTTACATCCCTATTGCCATGTAGCCGGAGGGTGCCTGTCAAATAAACCATGTCTGCAAACAGGTCCAGTTTCGGAGCCTTACAGCTGCAGGCCCCTTTGACTCTTGAGGCGTTTCATGTGGCAATGGTTCTGATGTGTCTCCCCATCCTGCCTAACCCCTCTGGGACCCTGCCAGCCAAAGCTGCTGGGGACAAAAAGGAGGAAGTGAACTCCATCATGGCGCTGATCATCATGGCACTGCCCAAGGAGAATCCTCTATGGTCCTGTAGTAACGGTCTCCAGCTGGTTACTGGCTCCCTGGCATTGTTTAGAAGCAGAAGTGGATATGGTGCCTCCATTGTCCAAAGGGGAATCCTTCACCCCACTGAAGTAGTAACAGTACCCAGTCTATGTACTGGGTCCCCAACTGATGGTTGGCCACCAGCTCACTGGTAAATGCAATGGCAGTCTTGGAACCTGTGTGGGATCCCCCCAGTGCTGGGGCCCTCTTTCCGCCTTTTATACTCAGTGGTATCTGAGAGGTGAGCCACTGTTTCGTCTTATACAATCCCAGACACAGATTGGTATTCCAGCCCCAGTACCAAGGTCTCAGAAGTGGGCCCAGTGCCAGCTAGTACAGGAAGCAGCAGCCCCTCCTCCAGTGCAAGCCTTTTCCTCAGCATCCCCAGCAGAAGCGGTCGCAGTAACTTGTTCATTCTGGATGACTTCAGGGCCCATGAAGAGTTTGTGAAGCATGTCGCCACAAATGGGGGCTGGAAGCTGAGAAGCTGAGGGAGTCTGCATACAGCTTAGTCGATATTCTGGCTGCAGTGGCTCCGTCAAGGGTGACCTTGCTAGTTAATAAGACAGTGTTAGGGACCTATCAGGGTGCTATCGCAGATCCCTTTGTCTCTGCCCCCTACCTCAAAAAGGGTGAAGTAGTAGTACTTTGTACCGACCAGTGGTTTGAGTACCTGTACTCCCATCTCCTTCTCCCTGGATCTGCCATGGTGTCAGTCACAACGGAGGGGGACATACAAAGGCAGTCCAGTGCTACCACACAAATAAAGAGGCTCAGAAACTGGACTTGTTTGGACACAAGGTTTATGACTTCAGCTACATACCTATAACCATCAGTCTCTGCTGGGGATGTAAGAGTTTAACCTGTGGAACTCGATGGCCAAGTTTAAGGACTCCCTGTCAAAGGAGTCAAGCCAGGAATCCATGACCATCCTGGTGCAAGGGAAGTCATGGCCAAAGCCTCCCTCTGGACCGCTTTGGATTTGGCCAACTTAGCAGCCAGGATGATAACTTTAACAGTCACCATAGGGCACTATTCATGGCTCTAGTCTTCAGGCCTCTTTCACAAGAGGCAGTAGTAATTCCAGGTCCTGCCCTTCAAAGTTATCTCCATGGTCTCTGAACAGATAGATTCCGAGCATCACGGCCTCTAAGATTCAAGGCTAACCCTGCACTCCAAGGGTTTTTACTGGCCCTCAGCCTGCAGGAAACATTTTAGGCCCCAGCAGCTGCCCACATTTCCAGAGACCCCTCAGGCAGGAGCCCTAGAAAAGAAAGAGAAAGGGCTATAAATGTTGTCTGTTCCTACCTTTTGCCTCCGCCTCTCAGTAGAGCTCTCTTAGATCCCCAGAAACATCAGGCAGACCTTTTGAAAGTACACCTGACAGTGGCATACCAGTCGTGACTTAAAGGCTAACAGATTTATTTGGGCGCAAGCTTTTGTGGACAAAAATCCAGATGCATCTGACAAAGTGGGTGTTTGCCCATGAAAGTGTATGCCCAAATAAATCTGTTAGGCTTTAAGGCGCCACAGTACTCCAGACTACTCTGAGAGACATTAGCATCCGTGAAGAATCCAGGAGAACTTTTAAATTATACTGAATTGACCAAATATGGGGTATATGTACCATCAGCCAAGATAGACTACACTGTGGCTGCAGACTCTTCAAAGTGTTTTCCTCCTCTCCCTAACATAATATATATCTTGCTCTGATTCACACTTCAGCCAAGCATTCTTAATCCATAACAGACTGTATTTAAGCCCTAGCCCAGGGTTGGGAAACCTAAGGCCCTGGGGGCCGGATGTGGCTCCCAATGTACCTGAGTCCGGTCCCCGAGGCCCAGGGCTGCCACCATGAGGCTGGAGCACACGAAATGTACTACATTGGGCCTCCCTAGGCTCTGGTGTGGAAGAGGAATGTGGCGAGTGCCTTTCTCCTTCTCAGTTGGGAGCCATGTCAGTGACGGGTTTGGATTTTGTTGGTTGTTTTTGCTTCTCACTTGTGTGACTCTGCGACTGATTTTTCTGTGTGTCAGCAGCCCTGACCCAAAAGTGTTTTAACTATATTCTCTAAA